GAAAAGATGATCAAGTATACTGGTGTCATCGGCATGGTTAAAGTCAAGATAGGCAGAAAAGGGGTTGGACGGTATAGGGATGTCAACTATAGAAACGGAGGCCTGAATAACTTCGTGGTCTGATATGCCCTCAAGAATTTCAACCTGTGCATTATCTGCAGGAAAATGATCGCTTAAGAACACCAAGTCGAGTATATTAGAACAGCACCCTTGGATACGGGTAGGCTGTTTTACGATTTGGGACAGATTAAATGTCAACATGATGCCAATGAGCGCATCCGTGCATGCGCTGTTGTGTTGCATTGTTTGCCAGTTTATATCGGGTAAGTTAAAGTCGCTGAGCAAAATTAGCCTGGCTTCGAGAACATACCGATGCATATACGTGTGCAATGCCTGCAAGCTATCCTTGTCTGAAGATGGGCTGCGATAAACGTAGCCAACAAATACTGGGCGAGAAGTGAAGAGAAGCTTGCAAAATATTGCCTCGACTCCGATAACCTCAGGAAGTATTTAAATAGAAAGCTCTTTTTTAAGTAGGATGGCCACACCTCCCCCGCGTGTCTTCCTATCTTTACGAATGATGACGTAGTTGGGGGGTGTTACCTCAAAATCCTTTATCTCATTTGTCAGCCACGTTTCAGTCAAAGCCACTAAGTCAGGTTCAATTCCAAGAAGTAAGGATTCAAGTGGTACTAATTTTTGAAGCATGCTGCGGGTGTTTATGGTAAGAAATGTTATTTCATTCGTTGGCTGTGGCGTTGTGGCTCGCCTGATGCTTCCGCTTCATCGTTTTTTTCATGGTTAATAATGTGACGGCCAGCGCTTACGAGCACAATATCATTTGTATCGTCATCCCATCGGTACAGATCTTCGTTCACTTTTAACTTGTCATAGACCAGAAATACTTTATCTCCAGCTTCTTTTTTGGTTTTTGCAATTTGCCAAAGCTTTTTTCTGATGTATCTTACTCTATTTGAGAAGTCCTCTCCAACAGAGAAAGTGGTGGTCTTTAGTTTCAGTGCAGTTTCTGAGAATGGTTACTTTGTCTCGGAAGTCGAGGAGTTTCAGCATCACTGGTCTAGGTTTTTGAGCGTTTTGTTTTCCTATCCTGTGGATTCTTTCTATTGGAACGGGTTTCTATTGGAACAAACGATCAGAGCATAGACTGATGCAAGACTAATCGAACTGTAGAACCTGCATGGATTTTTTTTTTCATTGGCGTAGCGAAAGCATTGCAGAGGTAGTTGTTCTTAGCGTGATCAATTTAGCTTTTTTTTACTTTTCATTGCATTCAATGAAGAAACAGTAACATTGCATTTCGAATGACGATTCTTACATGAGCGCTTTATGCGACGAGTGAGATGAAATTTATCTTTATGATAGCTTGAGTTTCTTGCGTTTCATTTATATATTATTGTGGCACACAGTTTTATAAATGGCATTTTCACAAAACCTAGTAAGAAGCGCTTCCACAGTGCGAAATTCGCCACAACATTCAAATCCCTAAACGATTGGTCTAAACTGTCTAGTATGGCAGTCTCAAGAACTTTACAATGTTCAGAACTGTTTACAGAACTCTATATGCTTGAGGTGACTTCAACCGTTTTAAGGTCAGAAAGCACATCGAGGACTCCACATTTTACAATGTGCAAAATGGCCAAGCAGCTTGATAATGAACTCAGGATGCAGCTAACTGTTTTTTATACTGATTTCGCGAAAAAGTAAAACGCTAGAGCGTATGAAAACACAGCCGCTACTTAAAATAAAAACCAGGGTTTGTACAGTGCGAGCGTTACGGGCGGTATTTGTTTAAGAGTCGTGAGTCGGTACGAGACCGGGATCACAGTGTACAGGGTGCACAGAATGGCAGTGAACGGGGCACCCCAAACTGAGCCACACAATACCAACGTCGTCGTCTTCAGTCTTTAGGTGTTGTTATAGCGGCTCCACTGGAGAGGTTTTTACACACCCGTCCCAATATCATAGCGTATAGAAGGGTAAACGAGGCGTTCGCTGATGCTTGCTGAAATAGCTGGCATCAAATACCACGCCCTTATAACCGATGTTCACAGTTACGGATCGAGCCTCGCAGCCTCTTACCTGAGTACCTCATGACGCTCCTTCGTTCATCAAAAGATAGACATATATTTTTTCTGGTTGAGGAGTATAGTCGATGGTAGGCATCGCACGCGGGGTGATGTTATCGCATGCACCCTTCGTTCGATGAAGATAGGCAGCTTGTTTCATCTATGCTTCACCATTGTTGCTCGCTAGCGCTGGAGGGATTTTATTCATGGGAGCAGCATACAGTGTGCCTACAAAAGTAAATAGATTGAACTTCATAGTTCATACGGAACATGCCACGAACAATGAAATCATGACTCGCTCACTTGTTTCTCTGCTGACCGGTTGTGCCCTCGGAATCTCCGACGTCAGCGTACGTAGCTCTGACCTACTGGACTTGTCCTACGCCATCTCCTGACGCCGACAAGAGAGAGCTCTCGCAAGTGGTGCCCCGTCCTCGGACTCCTGTGATTGTGTTTTCATCTTTTTTATCTCTCCTATCTCCTCGACATGTCCTCACTCGCTGGCTTAGCCCATCTTTTTCTCTCTCTATACCTTTAATCCTACTCCTTTATTCCCTCTCCACCCCCATCCCTTGTGAGCTACTGTTGAGGTGTCGCACCGTGATGCAGACAGTTAGGGGGCTCACTTTTCTCTTCCTTTCTCTCTTAGAACCACTCCAATGAAACCATGTAGAAAAGGTCCCTATAATCTTTCTCACAACAAAAAATATACCAGACATCACAGCCTATCATCGCAGTGAATGATGATAACAGGGGAGAAGCGTACGTCCATCTGTGCGTGGACCCATGCGTTCGTTCGTCCGTCGGTGCGTCAGTCCGTGCGACCATCCGTCCGTCCGTCTATCTGTCCGTCCGCGCGTCCACCCATTCTACCATACTTCCCAGCGACCATCCTTGCAGTCGTCCGTCCGCCCATGCGTCCGTTCGTGCGTGCTACCATACGTCCATGTGTCCGTCCATGCTTTCGTTCGTCCTTACGCACGCCCATCTCTCCGTCATTGGTTCCGTCGGTTGGTCCGTCAGTGCTTCCGTCCATCCGTTCGTCCTGCATTCCTTCCCCCTTCATTCCTCCGTTCATACGTCCATCCATGCGTCCATGCTTCCATCCATCCATCCGTTAAGGCGTTCGTCCTTCCGCTCGCCCATGCGTCCACCCGTCTGTCCTTTTTTCCGTTCATCCGTGCGTGCACTCTACCATCGGGCCGCGCGCCCTTGCGTCCGTCCATACTCCCGTTCGCCTTATTGCACACAATTTCATCAGATCAACGTCATTAAAAATGAATAAAATGGTGATAATACAGCGCCGTTTATTGTAATGTTTCGGCTATACTGCTGGTTACGCCTGACGCAGGACGAAGTTAGAGTAAGAGAAACCTCGCTCCGAAAACTGTCGAGGCGGTCCAGTTTTTTTATAGAGATCTGCGTGGTCTGCGCTGTAGAGGTTTGTTCATTGCGAGAATAAAACATGTATGAGCCTTTTGCTTTGGTTTAGTTCTTCTTTACACTGCATCGCACCTCTTCACTACAGTTCTTACAGGCTCTTAACAATGATGTCTGCATAAAGCACGTGTGCAAAATGAGCCCTAAATGTTTGTCCTATCAAGATTTTGAGCTTGTGGATTGCACTCTTATTGCTACTTGCGCAATGGAAAACAGAATAAATTCAGCGAAATCAAAATTAAGTCACGCGTGATAATCACGCGACGTCTGACGAAGAACGGAGCGGGTCGAACACATGCCAAAGAAATGTAGAAAGAAAGTTACAACAATAATATTTCCTGTACATGGGACATTAAAAAGTATGTGCCCTAATCATGTCACTTGAATCACCATTATGGTGTCACAAAGGGCAGCAAAGAACGAGAAATGCCGAAAGAAAATAACATGCTTGATTATATACCTTGGGAAGCTGTTCTAGGGCCCTTATATGGCCAATGCATGCAAACACGGACAAAAAGGAGCAGTCAAGACACCACAATTCCGCTTTGATGAATCACAAAGCTGCAGAAAATAAGGTGATGTGGTGTATTTTGTGCACATTTCTCTGGTAGGATAAAACAAAAGAAACGGCGGCGCAACGCAGTTGTTTCGCGGCGGCGGCGTGGTGCCTCTCGAAAATATTCAATCAAGAACAGGCGGCGGCGGGGCAACGCACATCTCCAAGTTCGAGTCACACGTCGCAGTGCGCGGCCTCCTGTGGCCCGTAGAGCAGTTTATTTCAATTGGCGCAACCAGGTGGAAGCACACCGGGCCCGTGCTCTTTCCCCTGAATTTTTTTTCTTGATGCGGCATACAGAGCACAAATTGAAATTCGTTCACATCTGCCTGCACGTTCCCCACTTCATACCAAGGTGTTGCAGCCCTCCACCCGGAAAAACATTTTGCCTAAACCCTTGCTTGAAGCATGCAGCACCGAACTTGAGGCGTGCTATGTCTTCGCACTTTATTGCAGACGACTTTCTTTGGTCATATTTAGTTGTTCGGTAATTTTAGATACTTATGTTTTGTTCCCAGAATACGTGTTATGTATTTATTTTCAACTCCTGTAATATGCCTAAGTAGGATTCGAGAGTACCTGAAATGAAGAAATGAAATGATTACAACTAAATACATAAACATAAAATGTACTCACTCTGTGATACGCCAACATTTCACAGGCCTTTCTTTGGAGGTTAGAGACAGAATACCGCCGGTTGAGTAACATCATCCACTATCGTGAAGCGCAAGCACCCCAGTCAGTGAAGAGACTACGCATATTAAACTGATTCTTCAGTATGTCAGTCTGCGTTCTTAGATACATACGCCTGTGCACGTGACTTTAAACTTCTTATGTGCAGAAATGCGTAAAAGAATTCGCAACAGCTTCATAGATGTTCATCATTATGAGAAAGCTAAAAGCAGACAAGTACTCACGTAGGTGGTTGTCGGCAGGGCGCACGCGTAGATGAAGAGCATGACGCAACCAACGAATATCTCACGATGCCGGCGCAGGACCAGAGGGTACTCGTCGCACAAGCCCGTCAGCATTGCCTCCAGGCCACCAAACTGCGGATACACGTCTCATTATAAGCTTCTGCAATCAGCTCAGCAGATGTCATATTGTAGACACCACATACAGTTTTTTTTTTCCAGTACTGCACTTCGATTGCAAGCCTCCACACATTAACCCACCACACAGAGGCAGGTTATACAGTTGTGGTTATTGTACTCTAAGATACACATATATAACATAATAATGGCGAGTGCTACTAAATCACAAAGTCGGTTAAATTATCTACTTGTAGACATGAAGCAACATAGGGTCTTTTATTAAGCCTTAGTTTCTGGTTTGTGGACCCCTTTGGCATTTTTAAGAGAGCTTTCTTTTAGTGGCCGCGTGCAACTGCTTTCCCGTGTGGACCTATGACAGTTTACAACACTTAGAGTGTAGCTAAAAAAAGGAAAACTGAAAAAAAAAGTACGCAACTGTTCTCATCGGTGCAGCTGTATGCTGCTTTCTTTAATCTATCTGCAATTTTTTCATCTTCGAATAAAACGATGTCGCGTTCAGACCTGCTTTGCGGCGGGTGCCCTGTAGCTTTGCCTATTGATGTTGAAAATATATTCAATAAAATCTTCCGCGGGATATCCGATTAACTGCTCCACTCTGCTATTTCACATGTTGATATTGTGATAGAGTGCACTTTCGTCTATGCTCCAAGAAATACTTAACAAGGCTCTATTATCCTAAAATTTGTGTGCAATTACAGGTCAAGCATGCATGCATCACTGGGTTTTAAAACGATATAACTTGCTAGGTGTTCGAACTACATGCAGCTCCGCTAGTGATATCTGACTGAATGTCATAAGTGCATTTACCTTTTTGCCAGGGCTGATGCTCACCACAACCACACGATTAAAATACTTTTCATGCTTTAGTCATAAATGGAACATACCGTACTATCCAGGCCGAGAGTGATTAGCATCAGAAAGAAGAGAATAGACCAGAACACTGATCCTTTCATGGTAGCAATGGCTTCGGGGTATACAATGAAGACTAATCCAGGGCCTGCAATGGCACAAAAAAACACCAGTATTTGCAAAGGGGTATCATAAAGTGTTCGCGAGAAATGGCAACGCACTAAATTTTTATTCTGCTGTTTGCTAAATTCTTGTTCTTTGGTTATTTCATTTCGATTACAATTAAACGTGCACTCTCTTCGCGAATGTCACCGCTGTCGCCCTCATGGTCACTAGGAACTCTACATTGTTAGCAATTTCCACGAATCAATTTCTAAATACAAAGAAGACGACATACAAAAAGAAAAGAACATACAGAAACAACCCGTTTCGTTTATCGCCTTTTTTTCGTATTCTATTTCAAATAACACATTTCCAACACAATCAGCTGTTCTCTTCAAAAATCACGTGTTCCAGCACTGGGTAAAATCGCGGGAGTTGGGGCGATGCTTGTGGCTGAAGTCATTATAAAACGAATCGACATCTCGTCATCTCTCGGAGGGCGCACGTCATTGCTTCGCCGCGTGTGCAAAAGCCCCCGTTCTGGACCGCCTGCTCCTGGTGAACCGTTCTATGTACTGTGATTTCTACATTTATCTCAATGTATTGGAAGTACACACTTACACCGTCTTTTTGTAGACACAGTGGAAACCTGAGAGTAGATACAAAAGTGAGCTAGTATTCTCGCTTCGCAGGATAATGCAATTTGTTGCCATAGCACTTGTTATACTTTGCCCTTGAGGTGAAACTCAATTATTTTTATGCACACTAAAGTGAAAAAGTTTAAAAGTTGTTAGCTATTTTAATCATAGAGCGAATGCAGCAAAACGGAGTTGTACAGTGCATAGAGAGCTTATCCATCCTGAAGAGAAATAAAACTTCGAAAAGACACGGAAGTCATATATGTAGGGCTCCGTGTTCTCGCATAAATAAAAAAAGTTGAAAAACACTCACTCGTAAATATTCTGACGATTTTGATATTTCCGAGAAAGCTTTTTCAGCGTACAAAAGCCACTTTTAAAGCTGACCATAATCAATTTAGGAAATACACCTTTATCACCGGCAGCAACCTCGTAATCTATACTTGCGTCATTACAACAAGCTGTGGTGTCGATATTAATGAGATCTAACTGCGAGGGAGTAAACGTTTTTGCTAGAAAAGAGGAAAGCGGGATTTTAGAACCTGTGTGGTTGAGGCTCTATGAACAGGACTAACAGGACAGATAATCAAGAAAAGGAAACTATCGGCAATGTTATGAGAAGTGTAATATAAATAAGAAGAAACAAACGTAGACGAAACGAAGACGTGCCCTGAGCAAGCACCAAACTTGCGACCGCCAAATAGCGCGTTGGATGTGCTACGAAGTGGTTCTCCACGTTTACTGCGCATACGTACCCTATAAAGTCGAGGGGGGATAGCCATTGTGGTAGCTCGAAAAGATCTCATTTCGTCTATTTTTCTTTCTTCACATATACATTATAATCACTTCTATTAAATATCCCTACAATTTTTTTGGTATGATTGTCCGTCAGACGTCAATAACAATGTGGGTACCGGGATGGAATCCCGGCTGCGGCGGCTGCATTTTTGATGGAGGCGCAAATGTGGTAGGCCCGTGTGCTCAGATTTATGTGCATGCTTAAGAGTACCAGATGGTCAACATTTCCGGAGTCCTCCACTACGCCGTCTCTCATAATCATATGGTGGTTTTGGGACGTTAAATCCTGGCGTTGTAATACGGGTAAATATAGGTGATTCGTGTTTGGATATTTGTCCTTATATTTATTTGTGTTGGCGCAGTGGTGTATCAACTTCTTCCTGAGGGGTTGACGGGGACAAGGTTCCTGCACATACATTGCCTTTCACTTCTCTCTCTGTTTTCCTTTAATCCCCTCACCCCTTCCCCCAGTGCAGGGTAGCAAACCAGACGTGCGTCTGGTTGACCTCCCTGCCTTTCATTCTTCCCTTCCTCCTCCTCCTCCTCCAGGTATATAGACACTCTCGACTGATTTTCCCCGTCGCCGTCATGTCCCGCATATATATATATATATATATATATATAAATATAGATATATATATATATATAGATATATATATATATATATATATATATAAATATATATATAGTCAAGTAGATCCTCCGTGAGTGGTCACAATGTGGTTTATTTCGACGTTTCGGCCTAGAGTCTGGCCTTCATCAGGATCCTGATGAAGGCCACACGCTAGGCCGAAACGGCGAAATATATATATATATATATATATATATATATATATATATATATATATATATATATATATATATATATATATATATATATATATATATATATATATATATATATATTGTCACGCAGTTTATTTACGTACAGACCTACTGGAAGGCCGAGGAACGCCAGAAGAGCGAGGAACGCCAACAGGCCGAAAATACAAAACAAACGCAAGCTCGGGTCGCGCGTGCACCAACGCTGTGGCTTGCCGTTTCATGCTGCTTCGTCGTCGTTCGCATAGTTCCCTACATTGGCCCCCGGTGAATAGCGTAGCCAACCTGGCGACTTAAGGCGTAGTCACTATAGCGGGGTCGTAATACGGCTTCAGGCGACTCACATGCACAATTTCTCGGCCACGACGGCGTAAGTCACGAGACTGTGTCAATGGCTCAATCTCATAATTGACGGGTGACGTACGGGCGAGAATGCGGTAGGGCCCGTGGTATCGTGCCAATAATTTCGACGAAAGGCCAGGAGTGCTCGGTGGAACCCAGAGCCAAACGAGAGCACCAGTCGTGAAAGTAGAGAGATGTCGGTCGGTGTCAAGCCGTAGCTTCTGGTGGCCTTGGTCCTCGGTTGTCAGAGAACGGGCCAATCGTCTGCAATCTTCTGCGTACCTGGCAACATCAGAAATTGCAGTGTACTCAGAGGAGTCGGGCGTGTATGGAAGGATAGTGTCCAGCGTGCACGATGGTTCGCGTCCGTACAACAGAAAGAAAGGGGAGAACCCTGTTGTCGCGTGCGTAGCGGTGTTGTACGCATACGTGACGAATGGAAGGACAGTGTCCCAATTAGTCTGGTCTGAAGCTGTGTACATCGTCAACATATCACCGAGAGTGCGATTAAATCGTTCTGTGAGGCCATTCGTCTGCGGGTGATATGCTGTCGTCAGGCGATGAACCAAGTTGCACTGAGCGAGCAACGCTTGAATGGCGTCAGACAAGAAAACACGCCCCCGGTCGCTCAAAAGTTCGCGGGGAGCACCATGGCGGAGAACAAAGTTGCGCAAGATGAAAAACGCAACTTCCCTCGCGGTTGTTGCGGGTAGTGCTGCTGTCTCCGCGTAACGCATGAGGTGGTCCACGCCGACAATTATCCACCTATTTCAAGAAGACGACGTGGGAAGTGGTCCGAATAAGTCGATACCGACGCGGTCAAACGGACGCGCTGGACAAGGCAGAGGCTGAAGTGTACCGGCAGGGCGTTGAGGTGGGACTTTACGTCGCTGGCATGCAGTACAAGCACGTACGTACTTGCGGACAAATGTGTACATGCCGCGCCAGTAGTACCGCTGACGTAGACGGTTGTACGTTTTGAGAGCGCCAGCGTGAGCGCTTTGCGGGTCGTTGTGGAAAGCAGTACAGATTTCCGAGCGCATGTGGTTGGGTATCACTAACAGCCACTTCCGACCTTCAGACGTGTAATTCCGCCGATAGAGTAGGTCGTCTCGAATAGCGAAATGTGTGGCTTGACGGCGGATAGTTCTTGAAACTAAATTAGCTAACGGATCAGTCAGAAAGGCGAGGAGTTGGGAAATCCACAAATTTTTGCGTTGTTCCGATGCCATGTCTGTAAAGTCGATTGGTGTTATGACAGCTGAAGAAGGTGACGAGGAGGCTGGGTCAGCCGGTAGCGGCGAGCGGGATAGCGCATCAGCGTCGGAGTGCTTGCGGCCGGATCGGTATACAACACGAATGTCGTATTCCTGTAGGCGAAGCGCCCAACGACCAAGGCGCCCCGACGGGTCTTTGAGCGATGATAGCCAGCATAGAGCGTGGTGGTCCGTGACGACTTCAAAAGGGCGGCCATAAAGGTATGGGCGGAACTTCGTCAAAGCCCAGACAATTGCGAGGCACTCTTTCTCCGTGACGGAATAATTACACTCGGCTTTCTTGAGGGTTCGACTCGCGTAAGCGACCACGTATTCTTGGTACCCTGGTTTTCGTTGAGCCAATACAGCACCAAGACCGACACCACTGGCGTCGGTGTGGACCTCCGTAGGCGCATCAGGGTCAAAATTACGTAGTATTGGAGGTGATAATAATAACCACCGAAGCGCGGTGAAGGATTCGTCGCACTCTTTTGACCAAGCAGAAATGCCTTTAGAAGTTGTCAACAGGTTGGTAAGAGGCGCGATGATGGAAGAGAAGTTGCGCACAAATCGACGAAAGTATGAGCACAGGCCGATAAAACTTCGAAGCGTCTTGATGGAATTGGGCTTCGGATAGTTGGCCACGGCGCGGAGTTTCGCCGGATCCGGGAGAACACCCTCTTTGCAGACGACGTGACCCAGTATAGTGAGCTGACGTGCGGCAAAATGGCCCTTTTTGATGTTAAGTTGAAGGCCAGCAGAGGTGAGACACGTGAGAATAGAACGAAGACGAACAAGGTGAGTGGAAAAGTCGCGAGAAAAAACGACGATATCGTCTAGGTAGCAAAGGCACGTGTTCCACTTGTAGCCGCGAAGGATGGTGTCCATCATCCGTTCGAAGGTAGCTGGGGCGTTGCAGAGTCCAAACGGCATGACGTTAAACTCATACAGTGTTACAAATGCAGTCTTCGATCGGTCAGGATCAGCTATTGGAACTTGCCAATATCCTGAGCGTAAATCTAAAGAGGAGTAATATTCTGCCCCTTGCAAGCAATCGAGAGCGTCGTCGATGCGTGGCAACGGGTACACATCCTTCCGAGTTATGTTATTGAGCCGGCGGTAGTCGACACAAAATCCGATAGACCCATCCTTTTTGCGCACAAGTACAACAGGGGACGACCAAGGGCTCT